TCAAGGCCAGAACAACAATTCAAGGAGAAAAATATGAATTCATTATATTTCGTGGCTCCGCATCAGCTGCTTAAACCGTAAATGTAATAATGTGTAACAATGAGGTATTATACCATGACAGCATACAATAATATATCTGTGCAACTTCATAGACATCAATGAGGTCATCTAAAAATCGAGTTCAAATAAAAACGTAAGCAGAAGTTGAGACAGTAATCAAATAAAGTTTGGAAACAAATAAGATGAATAGCGCAATATTCATAGGAGATAGATCAGCTGTCTAGAAGAGTTGAAAGTAGCTAATGAAAAACCAACAAATGATTAATTCATAATTTTCTGCTGCAAATGTTGTTCTGGCTTTCCTCAAATTTATAGATGGAACCAAATGCACGAAATAATATTATTTTCTGGACATTACCTATCAGTGTTTCGTTAAGAATTGTTTATGCATTTGATGTTTAAACACTACATTAAACCTCAATCTGGAGGATTCTCATTCTGTTATTATTTGCAAACGAACTTGGCTTTACAAACTTTATATAATCTCATAACTGTAGAAATTCACATAAAATAATTGTGATTGAAAATGTTATAATTATCTAGGCTCTGATGGTCAGGTAAATCTTAGTTGCATTTCAGTTTTGAACTTTTGAACAGTGTGTACTAACTACCTTTACAAGTGTAGGAAGTAGGTGTAATGAGTATGTTACTTCTATATCGCTACAATTTTTTTATTCGATTATAAGTAACATACCTTATCACACTTACTTCTTACCTTTTAAATTATACATATCCTCTCTTCATAATTTTTTTAATTATCCACTGTCAGCAAACAAGCTTTTTATAAAATGCTCCATCAAATAGAACGTCACTAGTTTTACATTATTCTATGAAATGTTTAATAAAATAAATAGGCTTTATTCTGACGTTCATAATAAAAAGTTAAACGCTGAAATAACAGTTCACTGTTTTCTAATCATACTTTTTTTTCATTTTTAAAAAAAGCTTTCTTATTCAATTTTTTTTTTCAAAATATCTTTAATTTCAAGGGCTTTTAAGTACGTCAGTATTGCTATATGTTGAATTAAAACAACACATAAAAATTAAGTCTAGGTTTATTTTTGTACCTCTTTGTAATTGGTAATATTCATATGACAAAATATCATTATATATGTTTTTATATTATTCTGACTGGCCTAAAAGATGATTGATTGGCTGTTAATGAAACATTTAGATCACTTTTTCACCTGTTGTACTACTACTCTAGACTTGTTTCAACCAAACTCACATGGCATTATGAATGGTTTATAACTTATCCGATTTATGAATGCTGCAAATCTCAAACAGAATTATTGTACTTTCTTTGGGACTAACAGTGATCTCTGCTACCTGATCTGATGGTGAACATTTACCAGTGATAGGGTAAATAACAACTATCTGGAAATAATTTATAGGAAATAATTACCAGATTTTTATAGTTTTAAAGGATATTCCAGAGAAATTTATCGCTATATTACACAACTGATGATGAATAGTACATAATGTAACAGAATTTTAGATGACTAAGAGGACTATTATTATGAGTATTATCAATAGCATTATGCGTTACAATGATCAACGTACCTTATTAGTCAAAGTTACAAAATAGGGTATGACCCTACAATACTCAAGAAGTTCTACTCGTGGTTATAATTCTATAGACAAATTTATTTTGATATTTGCGTCATAACAAAATAACAGTAGTGAATTAGGATAAATCTGTAACTCACCTAAGTTGAATGAGAAGTTTTACTTCAGCTTTTTAGGTTCACATAATTCGTAGAAGGTCCTTAATTCAACCTTGTCCTGAAGCATGAGTTTATACTATTTGTCAGTCTTCTTAAACTAACCTGTATATTGACCACTAGATCTCATTCATTATTAAATAAGGATTATTTCTTTGTTAAGGTACAAGTCAAAATGAAACAAATTTACGAAATCTTCAGCCCAACGACAAGGCGTTTCGTGGAAAATGAAACATCAATCAAATCTAGAAATCATTGAATCCGGTGAATGGCTTTTGTACTGTCAAATGGTATAAAGTCGCATATTCCGCTTTTCTAGTGAGACCGTTTTAAAAGTACAGACTATAAATAACATCAACAATCCTATGAATAGTGGAGCTTAGTTATTCTTTCAGAAATAATGAAAAAAATCATCATAAATAATTTTAAATATATTCACTAGTATCACAGTTAAAGTGCAGAACTTGATATGAAAGGTAAAGTCAACCACTTGATGCAAAACTATAGGACATACGTATTACACTATTTAGTTATTAGTTTAGTGGATATTATCATGGAATGAAAGTCAAGGCTTCGATTTTAATAGCATTATCAGAATGATTCAAATTGTAGGAATTTTTGAATTATATCTATTTCATTAACTGTCAAGAGATTTCAAAGAGATTCATTTACAATTTTGACGCTATTAGACAGCAGACTATTGATAATTTAAATGATTTTAAATAAACGATCAAAATTCTTTCGTGAACTTTCAGGTGTTGCATGAAGATGAAGATCAACGACACTGGTTTTATTGCAAACACCAATGACCAGATATAAACCATTCTAATGGTGACATGGAACTTGTGAAAAAGTGAAAACATATATGCAGCCGTATAGTTTTATGCAAGGATTTCCAAGATTAGCATATAATTGCAGTTAAAAAAATACTTAGATAGTAGAATTAGTAAGCATTTTAAGTTCGGAGGTCCCGAACGTAATCAGTATACAACGATTGCTACCTTTTACTGCACCTGTCAAATTTCAAGAAGTTTCAGTGTTTTCATTAAGTAAATCCAACTTTTACCTAAACAGTAACTTTTTAATTTTTTAAACTTTTTTAACTTTTTAAACTGTCATTTAAGTAGAATCCTTCACCCGCCAAAAATCAACATCACTTAAAATTCTAAAATGCATCTTCTCATAAATAGAACTAAAAAGACTTTGAACTGGATAACTATAATTCTTCCATTCTACATTTTCACCCCTTACAGTTTATATCAGGTTAGATGAAACCAATTATAGTACCTTATGTGCATGTTTTCTTAATATATGCAGAGGTATTAGGCCCGTAGATTTGTGAATTTCAGTATACAAGTTCCCGATTAAAGTGTAATTATTAAGATGATTTAGGATTATTTTGGTCATTACTGCAAAGCTCTTTTGTCACACTTCAGTACTTGCACAGATTCTGTGTGTTAACTGTCAGTGTTCAAATAACTAAGAGTATGGACATATTTTGGAGTGAAAATATGAACTGTATAATTTATCAGTACACAAGAATTACTTCTTCAATTTTATCTATTTGTTTTTAGAAAGAGTATAAAATTATCGATCTGAGAAATTTTTCAATAAACGTATTTTATGTATTTTTGACAGAAATACTCGAGAATAAAATGAGTTAAAATAAATGAATTTTTCTTAAATCACAATGGATATTTTCTTTCTAATTTATACCTTTATGATTCATTAAGTTTTTATTTTTGGTTTCTTAAACCGAAAATCGATACATATTCCATACCTAACGACATAAATCAAATCTTTTCACAGTACGCATTCCGTTTATCCCAGATTCGAAAGTGCGCTAACGTAAATCAAGCAAATATTCAACACCATACACACGATAAAATTATGGATCTAATCAAATGATTTTTAATCAATGAACATATGTTATTACGTCTCACGTTATTCAAAGTCTGAAATATTCTTCTTATTTCCGTAAAATGATGTTGGTTAGTTAGTCAACACTTATATATTTACGTTATGCAATTGGTATTCACGTTTCAATAGTCTTTTTATATATGAAACGAGAAACGAAACTGTCATTATTTTTCGAAGTGATATGCATGAGAAAGTAGTTGTTTGTTGGTTTATTCTAGTTTGCGAGGATTATCCATCTTGAAATTTAGTTTCAACAAGGACTAGAATTGAAATTCAACTAACATCAATCTATAGTGAAACGTAACTGCCATCCTGTGGAAAATCTAAGCTTTGAATATATAATTGTAGATATCATCTGAAATAAACCTAAATTCAAATAACAGAACAATTGACGTAACTGAAAGAATGAGGTCTGACAATTAGATAATGACTATATCATTGAGAGACTGATACAATACCACTTTATAAAAGTTAATTATAACAGTAAATGAGCAATTATGGTATATTTTTTTAAGTTAAAAAAATTGATTTAATAGTTTGCAATTGTATACTCTTGTTCATCATCTCATATCTTCGCAATCAGAAAAGAGAAAAAGCATCTGTTGTAATTATTTCAGAGTACTTTTCTAATAATTAGTAGTGTTTCGATACAGTTGATATTTACATAGATGTTTGTTAAATTACTTATCTTACATTAAATGTCCTTTCGAAAAATCGATTATAATGTGATGTATAGTTCACTTATAAACTAAGAATAAGCTTATCAGCTAAACAGTTATCTCAGTTATGATTTTACCAGTGCAGTAACTTAGGTTTATATTTTATCAACTAGGTCATTATAGTCGAATAATTACTTTGGAAATTGTCTATTGACAGTCCAAACCTGCAGGAAAGAAATATCCTACTAGTTAATTAGGAAAGATTCAAGAAATCTGTGATCCTAAACAGTAGAGCTAGATCGGTCAAATTATCTTATTATCTCTGAAAGATAACTAAATTTGTCTTTAGATTTCAATATGTTGTGAACATTTCATGTCAATAGTAATTTCCTCAAGAAGCCTCTTATATATGCCAAAACTTTCGACAAACAACTTAGACTTGTTCGTCTGCCTCAAATATCTAAACTAAGGAAGTCGGTTGGTTAAACAGACTAGTGAAACGCTATGTCGTAATTATATCTCATAATACAATAAACGAACTAACAAAGTTGACTGTTTTGATGTTTTTTAACATTGTTTTTTTTTTATTCCAATATAGTGAGTATTTATACAATTTCTAAAAAATTCAAATGATCTCTGAATGAACAAATTCAAAATGAACATACTAATAAATGTAAAATAATTCTGTAATTGTTTCTATTTGTATTTCTAAATAACAAAATAATATATCAAAAATAGAATTGTGAAATTTAATTTGCATCATTCATTATTGCCCATCATATTGTTACTTGGCATTGGAAGCAGTCGACGTGGTGTAGTTGTCATTGTGGTTGATGTTATTGTTTTGATTGCTGGTTGATGTGTTTCAGTATGTTTTGTTAGTGTTATATTCTTATCATTATTGCGATTGGAATATTTGCCAAGTTTCTCATTACATTTTATAATACTAGGACCATTAACTGCATCACTTCGAGACGTTGAATCGAGATTTACATTAGCAACAGATTCACCAGGTTTATTGATATCAGTTAATGGATGTGACAAGACTTCATCAACCCATGCTACACTGCGTTGTGCACTAAGGTAAAAAAGAAAGTCGTAAAGTAAAATGTTAGTATACTTTGTTGTGAAATGTTTAGATCAATCAGCCTAACAATGTTACTTGATCTGAATTCTTATTTCACGTTAGCATTATTTTAGCAAGTTAGTTTACTAGATGAAGGGATCGTTAACGCCACACCTAACGCTAGCGCTTGACCGGGCTTGGGAGCAGCAGTAACCCTTGAAGGACTGTAGTTATCAAGTGGTTATTTTATCGTTGAAGTCGGTACATAAAAAACGGAAGTTTAATTATTCCTGTAAATTTTATTCATTTCCCTACTGAGTAGAAATTGGTTTTCTTTGCGAATTCGAGTTTGCAAACACAGTTATCATAAAAACTAATTTATTTTCATAATACATTACATTATCATTTTTATTTCCTAAGCAAATCGAAATAAAATATAAACACTATCATCCTCATGAAACTTTTTGTTACAAGTAATTAGTTGATAATGATTTAGATGATATGACATCCTGAATGGGTAATTATTTTCATTACTGTATTTTAATTATGTTTTGGATTCAGTAAACTAAAAAGTAGACTGCATTGATCAAACAAATGTAATTTATTTGTACCGAACTTTCCGAATAATCTGGTCACGCATATGCTTGTCAAGGAATTTGATATGATAATTAATAAAAAAGGTCAATTAAGTAAAAGTTCAAATAAACCTAAGGTAATAATTGTGAATAAAGAAGAGAGAAAATTAACATATTATTGAAAGAATAGGAAATTGTTGCATTACCCTAATGCTCAAATTTGCTTAACGATTACCAAAGCGAATTCAAGCTTGTAACAAATTGTCTTAGTACATATAAAGGGGGGATTTCAATTCGCGAATAGCTAAGACTTCTATGAGCCTTCATTAATTCTTATATAAAATAATTTGACAAGCATCCTTGTGAACAGATTGTCCGAAATATATAGCGCCAATTCATCACATTTATCAAATCAACTCTGTCTTGTTAATGTTCTATCAAAACTTACAAGAGAGACTAACTGCGTTACATTTCTATCTAAAAGCTATAGTGAATCGAAGCATAAATATGGAAAGAGTTTATTTGGATATCTGCTCAAATGAAGTTTGCCAGATAGTTGATTAAAAAATAATACGCTTCCTAAAACAGTTATATTGTTAGTTTAACTAGTGAGTTAAGTATTCACGCGTAATCAAGGAGCTGAAGTGAGAAATAGTTGTTTTATTTTGTTACATGATAATGATGTACTTGAAGCTGTTTCAAAACCGAGTAAGATTAATCAAGCGTTAGATTATTAACTTACTATTGGAAAGTATAAAACGATCATTTCTATCTTCTTTGTCTCTGATCTTCAATACTTTGAAATATATAATACCGACAGAAAATAGCATTTGCATGGAGTGATGCTTGAGCAGTCTCCGATATTATGTATTTTTAGTCCTTATTGATGATTGAATTTTATCGATCAAGTTGCAGTGCGGTCTGATGTCTGAGTAATAGGTCAGCTCTAACTCTAAATCTTGACACGAGGAATCAGTGGATTAATTATTATTTTCTGGTCGTCAATTTTCATCTAAGTGTATCTCAAGTCTCCACATGCGTCATTATGATGTATGCTAGCTACCTAAGATCTAGTTACGAAGTTTCCTGTCAACTTCCTTCAAACGCCTAACAATGTAAAATCGAGAACTTGTAGATATTTTTTATAAAATTATACTTGATTATTAGAAATATTAATAATATTTAGTTAGGTTTTGCAAAGGAATCATATGCATTGAAATTTAGTTAAGATATTTTAGACAACTTGACAGAAGTATATTATACTAGACAGTCTGTAACTCTAAAAAGTTAACGGATCTTAAACATTAACTGTTTTCTATTTCAGTAAACTAAAACCTGGTCACACTTGTCATTACACATAAGATTAGTAAAAAAAGCTGAATGGCATGTATTATATCAGAATTTATGACAGAAAAATACTATTTCCATTAATTATTACGAATAATTTAATAAACTCTTCAATCAACAGTAATTATATAATAATTTAATTGTCAAACTGATTGCTAACATACCTAGGATTTCTACTTGTTTTATTAGTTCTTTCGGACTTTGAACTTTCTCTAATCAGAACACCTTTAATTTGCCGTTTATCATTGATTCCTTTCTTATCCTTGTAATCACATACACTACGATTTTCATGTTGCTGTAAATGATGTGCTTGAATCACATTACTATTATTAATTTGATTCTCAATTTTTACAGATAACTCTTTAATACTGTTACTGGCATTTGAACTATGCACCTGATTTCTAACTGCTGGTTTGACAATTTGAATTGGCATTGTCTTCGATGCATTAGGTTTCATTTTTGTAAACGTATTTTCAAGACTACTCTTGTCTGAATATGCACTTTTTGTAACAACAGTATCTTCACACTGTACAGAACAATCATGACAAGTATTAGGCTCTGGAGAAATTGGTGAGGACACAAAATCCGAAGCTAAGTAACATTCTTTGCAAAAAGGAAATTCATCTACCCGTGGACTTTGTTGAGAATAAGATTGGTCACTCATTATTTTTTCATTCGTTACATTTAGTTGTTTGCTTATTTTATTGACAAGATTTTCTCGTTGGTTTAAGCTATCGTTAATATCACAGTGTTTTTGCAAATTCCATTTGTCAATTGCCTGTCGGGCTTGTAATATACGATCAGAAAATCTATCACGTGTATTAATGAAAGTTGTCAATCGAGAGTTATGGTGCAGTTCATTATTGTCCAAAATATTTGTTGATTTAGATTCATTTCCTTCATTGTTTTTAATATACTCCGCTTCATTGGTTTTTAATGAATTAAGTTCAGGTATTTTTGTGCTTTTTGATAGATTACGAATAAACATAGGTTCTAATGAATTTCGTATTTCCGTTTCATGTGATAATTCTGGAATTAGTAAACCACTGTTCAGTTTACTAGTATCTGTAGAAGAGATAGATGGAAATGGATTTGTACCACCTAAGTAGTATGAAGTGGAACTGGGTACAGATAAGGTAGGTGGAAGTAGATCTGTTCTATTGCATATGTTGGTAGGTTGACTGAAAGTAACATGATTGTACAGTTGATAATCATTCGTTGGACATGCAATTGGGTCGTCTTTCTGATATTTTGGTTATTACGTAATGGAGTAGAAAAACATTAGTGCCTTTTATTAGCTTTGTTAGATAGAAAAATTAATTTTTTTTAATGTCAAGACTAATTAGATACATAAGAATTATATATTATCATCAAAGATGAAAAGATGCTTTCATAAAAAAATAGTAAACTTCATATATAATCACTCCATATTAAACTATCAATGAATATAGTCACAAATTTCGCGATACATTTAGACTAAAACAATCAACATGTTTAAACATTACTTTCTTTTGTTTATGCCTGTCCTCCTCATGGGGCATAGGCTATCGACCAGCATTCTCTGACCAACTCTGTTCTGCGTCTTTCTTCCCATGTCTAACCACTTGCTTTTCATTTTTTTCATGCATCTTCAATTCTCGAAGTAGTGCGTTCATTGGTCTAGCTCTTTTCTTTGACCGAATGGGTTACAAGTTGAGGTTTCACTAGTGATGCACTGAAGTGCTGTCATCAATGTGCATCTAAATAACTTTTAAAGCTTTGTCCTAATTTTCTTCTCAGCTGAAATGCGGTTTGTTCTCTCCCACAGTAGGTTATTCCTGTTGTTGTCCGGCGAACGGATTCTCAGTATCTTACGTAGACAACTGTTAATAAATACTTGTGTCTTCCCGATGATGGTCTTTGTATTTCTACAAGTTTCGGCCACATACAGTCGAATCGTCTTGACATTTGTATTGAAAGTTCTGATATTCGTGCTAGTTGGTAGTTATTTCGAGCTGCAAATTTTCTTTGATTGTAGAAATGCTGCCCTTGCTTTGCCAATCCGCGCCTTCACATCTGTATCAGATCCACCTTGTTTATCATTGATGCTGCCCAGACATGAAACGTTTCTATATCTTCCAAAGTTTCCCCATCAAGTGTGATTTGGTTAGCGCATGTTGTGTTGTATCGGAGAATCTTACTTTTACTTTTGTGTATGTTAAAGCCTACTGCCGCTGTGGCTGCTTCTGCAATGGTTTTCTTCTCCTGACTTTGTTGCTGCTTGTAGGATAAAAAAGCTAGGTCATTTGCGACGTTTATATCGTCCAGCTGTATCCTGGCTTTCCACAGTAATCTGTGCTTCCCTCCAGATGTTGACGTCTTCATAATCCAGACGATCACCAGAAGAAAGAGGAAGGATGAGAGTAAGCAATCTTGCCTGACACCGGTCTTCATCTCAAACAAGTCAGACAGCTCTCTTCCGTGCATGATTTTGCAGTATAATCCATCGTAAGAATTCCTTATGATGTTGACTATCTCCTCACGCACGCCGTATTGTGGAAGATGGTGCTGGGTCATCGTCAACTAGGTCTTTGGGACACGCACTATGGAAAGCACCCAAATGCGTCACAAGATAAAGTCTCACTTGTAACCCCCAGTGTTGAAGTAATAAAGGAAGGCAAACAAACACAATACGCCGAGAAATAGAGAACGGTATGAACAGAATGAAAAAAAATTGGACAGAAGTGGAAACGGAGGTCAAGGACAGACTAGGTGTAAGAAAACTGGTATACTGCCTATGCCCCATTGAGGGTAACAGGTGTGAGTAAATCAGTAGTAAGTAAGTAAGTTGGTAAATAAGTAAATAAGCAATTCAGTAAGATCCATTCTGTTAATATTACATTAATGATAGGTGTGTTCTTATTTGTTATTTATAAATGATTAAAAGTAATGCTATACTATAAATTCATTTTTTTTCTCTCCATAACTTTTTCAATGCAAATATTATTAGTAACATTTATTTTAATGAGTAAAGATGGTACTATCTATACCATTTACTGGATGTATAATCGTATATGCACTTAATACTGTAACATGAATTACCTATTATTAAATGTGCCTTTCTTAATGTTATCTTCCTCTTATCTCTTTCTCATTATGCATTATAGTGAAGATAATAGATTACCACCTGAAATATTACTTAGTAAAGGATTAATGGAACAATGTTAAACAGAACAAGGCGTTAATATATAGCAAAAAACATCAATACATATATGTATGTATTAAGATATACTGTGTCTTTGAAATACTATTTTTATTCACTCCAGTTAGTTCAATATCCTTAACAAAATACCTTACAACTACTATTAACTAATTAGGTTCCAATTTCTTTGAAATCGTAAAAAATTATTTTCTAAGGAATATATTCTTTCTTCAACTGGTTTAAATATGACTTATCATATTACGTATAAACATAGATTATAACAAACCTTTGTGGTAGTGGTATGATATTTTAAATCTGACCAATATGGAGATTCCATGGACGATATTGAGGAATTGAATGCAGAATCATTCTTTTGTTCAAACGTGTGTTTATACAAATTATCTGAATTTGTGTTCGATGCTTGACAAACAGACTGTTGAAATGTTCGCTTAAAAATTGTAGCTGCTGTCATTGCTGCTATCATAGCCAATGCTGAAACATTGGATGTAGTATTTGAATTTACATTATCAGTGTATTGACAGCAGTCATTATTTGAATAATTAGGTAATGAATTATGCTTTTTGAGTGTTGATAAACGGAATTCATAGTCTGAATTATCACTATTTAGTTTATCATTTGGTTCTACACTGAAATTAGTTTGACATTCACGATCAACAAATGATTTCACCATATTTGTGTTTACTGGCATATTGTCAGCACAACAGTTTATTGTACTAGGTAAACATGAAGATGTATACATGTCTGATGTGTTATCACTGAGATAATTTGAACTATTTTGATGAAAATCGTAAAAAGTTTGTTGATCAGTTAACTGATTGAGATGTTCGGTTTTTGATTTCCTCTTTTGTGCTTCATATAACTGTTGCATATGCTGCATAAGTACCAATCTTGATTTCTAGATAATAGAAAATGTCAATAAACAATTTTAATGCATAAGTTTTTAAGCAGATTTCAATACACATTCGTTTTAGAATATTCAATCTGAGCTATCAACAGTCTTTTTCATAGATAAAGGTTAGAAAAAAATCACTCATTAAGTGGTACTTTTGACAAGTTAGGCTGACTATAAATCTGGATAAGTTCTTAGATAAATATTACAAGTTTTGAAATTTGAAGACTTTTAATTACGTGTTTCATAATTCCAACGGTTAAGGGTGCTTAATACCTGCAAAATGTCTTCATTCTACAACTATTTCCGCTTTCTAACTAAATGGTGCAGGTCCAACAGAGAAGGCTCTTTAACTTTCAAATGACTTTAAGTGAAGCTTTATCAAGAAAAACAGAATTCTTAGACTTAACTGTTTGGATAATTGATTTATATAAAGCTTTTAGCTATTAAAAAATAGTACAATTACTTAAATGTTTTTTTTTTTGGCAAAAAAATTAATTATTTGTTGATCACACCCATGACAAGCGATTTTCTACAATTGAAGTCTCATTCAACTATTTTATTCTGTAAATGAATGAAAGATAATTAAAATATTTATAAAAGTACTTTTTGCATCATTTATGAATGTGATTCAAACCTCATGGAATTTCATTGTATTTAGTTGAAAATTAAAATGTATTATTAGTCTAAAGTTGAAAAATTCTCATATAAAGTTTAGGGGACTTATGAATGATAACGAAAAAGTTGTCCCTGTTTATAAATACATTTGGTCAATACTTCCATACTATATTGATTACAAACAGAATGAAAATTTATTTTAACATTAGATTAATAGAAGCCCCAATTTTCGTGTGTTTTTCACAAATTGTCTATCAGAATTGAGTTTATCTTGATCTACAAATCAATTGAGCTCGTTATTGCTTATCATTGTACTCGTTTTAAATCAGTTTACTAGTTGACCTGAAAGGTCTGTATGCATCAGCTGATTTGTTGCACATGGTATTCAATTTAAATGATGAATATTTATTCTTCATTCTTATTGAAACAATGAAATTGAAATAGATTAGATAAAAATCAAATCATTTCATTTTCTAATTCATTTGTTCTTACACCATTTTTTGTTCTGTTTTGCATTACTTGTGTTATTGGCACGAGATCTGTAAACGTTGATTTGTGCAGATAATGGTCAAAAGTGTTTTAATGATAAATATTCTCTTGTGATTTAATGAAGAAGTCATGTACCTCAAGCTAAATCAAAAGAATTTAACAGTAATTTATGAAAGCTATGAGTTTTTTTGAAAAAAAGATTTGAATTTTTTTCATGTAACTAAGATATAATTGAGGTTTGAAAATATTTATTTATAAATCAAGGCGAATAAAACACGTGCGTTATAATCTCTAAGCTTCTTAGAAAGTCTAAGCCGGTTTCATCAACATACCTTGTGATACGAAATGATTAGATAAGCAAAATTGTTGATCGCTAAGCAGTTTAACTGAAATTAAAAGATATATTGGTTTGTAGATATATGAGTCCTGTGCACATAGTTAATTTTTTCCTAATTCTACACCATAAGCGACAAATTATGGTGAGTTTTGGTTATCTAATTACAACACTGCTTTAAAGATACTAAAATATATTTACTAGATATTCAGCGTAATTGTTGGCTTTGAAAACCTTTATTTGACTTTTACATTGTCATGCATTTGAGTATCAATGAATTCATATAGTAACACATAAACTTTGCAATGAATTTTATGGTCTATATGATTCAGTCAGTATTTTTATCATTTCATCTGCTTGAATGAAGCTTACTAAGCCACGCGAACTATCGACGCGTATTAAAATGTGAATGATTTTACATAAGCCAACAAAAGCTGATTAAATGTGATTTTATTCATAGACAAAATGATACTGGCGGCTCTGTGTGCAAACGAAGTGCATTTAGTTTTCTAATATTTTCAACTGTGCAATCTATTTCACAAAATAGTTATTACATCTTAAGCTACTTTTTCCCAGACACATTAATCTTTTTTATCTTGTCAATGTTAACAAAGTTATGTTCACTAGGTTCAACAATCTCTTTGTATTAAACACAACTTCAATTTCAACTATTGTATACTAATGTGTGACAACCAGCTCGCTATTTGTTTTGCAAGATATATATCCTTTCAACTTATACAACTTGTAGACGTTTCAAAATTTAAGAAAATCACTTTTTGTGAGAGATATATGCAAGATCCATTTTTGAAGGCTTTGTTTCTGAAAATCCGTCCATCTATACATTTGTAATTTGTCCTTATTGATTCCTTCAGTTGTACATTTTGATAGTTACTTCGATTCCATTTGAGATGATAATATTTGTATTTTATTATAGTTTCTATTTCTTTTGCCTTCACTGAGTTTGTATGTTTCTTTCTGAACTGCATTTATGTTGTTTAAGATGATACTTAGTCATGGCGACAGGCATATTGATTTGTTCCTCTTTTGAATGTGTCGCTTGACTTGACTGGAAGTGTGCATTTTGATTGTGAATTGAAGCACCCTTCCAAAATAAGAAGCACTCGGTGTTATAAAGCAACCAAATATTATATTTTTAAAGATTCTGATCTATTCAGAAAGGATAGAATAAAATTTATTTGTTGCTGTTGATTTGATTAATTGAATAATTGTTGCTGGAATATCCGAGTGGTAATATTTGTTTAGGTAATGATGTATATTCATATTTATGATGACTGTTAGAACCGTCATTTACCCAAATCACTTGTTTTGCTTTCAAATGGGCAAGGCACGTATCTCAACTACCTGGACAGCTATTTCTCAGTCCAAACCTCAGTTTGGATACGACATATAAGCTTTCTGTTCGATCAATAGGAAGGATTCTTGAGTTTAGACTTTTAAGAATTCCTATACAATGGAAGAATAGCTGGTCTTCAATTATACCTAAAATGATATTATTCCATGACGAACACTGTCAATAGTTTCTGATGTATTAATATACAGACAAGTACTGATAGTTCAGTGTGGAACATAGAAGTTCTGTATTCATGCATTAATGTACAGCTGACAAAATTATCTCCAAACATTTCTATTTTTGAATTCTATACTTCACTCCTCATAAAGATAGAATCTTCCGGATTCGCCCATTTTCAAACGATTGAAAGAAAACATTTAATGAAAGTTTTTCACTCATTGTTTGCTACTACGTTCTACTTAGATCAAAAATTCCTCATCTGGAGCTGAGGAATCGATATTTATCCAATCAAAAATGATCAGGAGTTATGAATAATCGGTGTTTTATCAACCTTGATCTTCAACGAATAAATTATTTCACCACAGATGAATGCATCAGTTAATTATGCAAAATGCAAAAGACCTACATAGCAAAATTAATTACCTTCAAATTGTGCATTCTTGACATCAGTTTCAATTGTCGATTTCTTAGCGATTCCAATTGTTTCATTAACTGAATATTATTCGATTGGAATGTTTGTTGAGAACCCTCGGGCATTAGTTCTCTGTCATTTCTACACCAGGAACTATTATCTTTTATGTTCGATGGAGAAGTGTTAGCATCAGATATACGTGAATTATAACATTGGGCATCGCTATATAACGCTACTTTTCTTTGAAGAGCCTCTGGTGATTGAAAGGAACTTTGTGCAATATTTGAGTGTTTTAATAGGTTTATAGCATCGTTGGTTTTCTCACTTTCAATTTGTAATCTTTCTATCTCTTTTATTATTTCCCTGAAATTTAAAGATAAATTAACAATCTGTCAGATAAGTGAAACAAAGTAAGTAACCTCTTTATTTAAAAAAAAATAAAAGAATAGTGTTCAAGTATTCATTGCTTTGAACATTTGACATCATAGTTGATCGAATGCAAATTCAAATTCATAATATTTATTGATTGCTCGAGTGGTTTTTAATAAAAGATTACAATATAATAGGCCTTGGAAATGAATGGAATTAAAATTTTATAATCATGAAATAAACACAATGAAATGCAATAATGTTTAACTCAGAGTATATAAATAATATCATTATTTAATATTATGAATAGTTTCATAATGGTTTAGGACAAAAAAAAGATAGTTTATCAAAACATTGTTCCATTGTTGTTGTTTTTTTCTACTGAGATGATTATTATTTCAATAAACTATATTGTATTTCGTAAAGAGATTAAATTGCATTGAAATCAATGTGAAGTATGTCACAACAAGACAACAATCAACATGCCAGTTGCATAATTTGACTGATTTGCTGATATGGATGAAGTAATCGAACGACAACAACAACAACAATAACAAAGTTTGAAAAATCAGTTGTGAAAGTGATTACACACAGAGCACTGATGTTTATTTTAGCCATGTATGTAAACACTATAAATAGGATATAGTGTTTTTTACACATTGATTATTGTAATTAGTTTAAGTGATATTTAGAATATAAGTTGAATACATGAAAAGGGAAATAATAGTTCAAGGAAATGTATGATATCTTATTGTTGCTTTTAATAATTTCACTGTTTGAGTTATTTTACTCCACATACCTTTCCAATTTATAATGATATGTGAAGCTATTCAGATCAATAAAATCGATACATCTGTCATCCAACTCGTCAGACTGCATACACGATCCTGCAACTATACTTCAAAAGGTAAATCTGATGAACTAAAGTTATCATCAGTGACGAAGACATTGTGATCGAGTTGTAAGAGGAGATACTATGAATCAATGGTATTCATGAGTAATTTATTTTTATTTCAATTAGGCAATATTTTTGCCACAAACTAATTCATCGGCAAACGCCATGTTCAAACATTTAGCGCTAAGGTTGAAACTACGAACATGGATTATGCTTCAAGGAAAATAGCAGAAGACTTTTTGATTTGAATTAACAAAATAAATCAATAGACTACCTGTTATATGCTTCTATTTTCATTATCATATTCTTTTGCTCCTCTGTGAAATTTGTTGAATTGACGTCATCCTCTGTGTGGCTATCAGAAATCTAAAATAAATTAAATTATAAAATGTCGTTAGAAAAAGTGTGAAGCTTCAGTATTGAATGATTTTATTGAAAGCATTATCAAATATTTAAAGGAATCACATGTACTATAGGATTTTGTCATGTAACAGTGATGCTAATAACATTTAATTATAATATTATGAACAGTGTCTATTGCCTAAATAAATTGAATACTGTTTTGAATGTGGAATAAAATGCCTTCACTTGAAATTATAATCCATCTGAAGCTTTTTTTAACCTAAATTGTCTTTAAGGCAAATATTTCAACAAAATAGTAATTGGATTGTATGAACAGTGGTGGTTATTCCCTAATGAACGACTTCAATAACTACGGAAAAAGATTCAAGTTACAAACTGACATCGTTAAATGCTGTCTCAATGGTCTTGTGATTAAATGTTACTATATGAAACCAAGCGTTTTGCGTTGGATTCCCACGTTAAAGTTGGTTGATGAACATTACTGAGGATTTTCATACATCATAAAAACAGTTTCAGACGTTATCAACCTAGTTCATATAATCATTTAGTGAAAAAAATACTTATTTCAGTCGACCTCTTAGCATTTTCGTATAGAATATAGAGGTGCGCAATCTACCAACGTATCACTTATAAAGTATCATATTGTTGTCTTCTTTGTCTGAAATCATGTTGTTGAACATTTTGGAATGTCAATCATTAAGCCTTAGGTTGAAAACATTACTTTAAGTACTGAAAGACTTATTACTAGTGATCTTATTCCACTTCAAAGTATGTGTAGATTAAGAGCTTGAATATATGAAGGTAGTTTTGGTTTTTTGTGTTAACTTCACAATCTACGCTATAAATTTTGTCCACCTTCTCAGAACTCAAGTTTCATCATTCTCTGTTGAAAAGAATCATTTATATAAAACGTTTTCCAAATAAAAATTTGGTAATATTTAAATTAACTACGAACAGTGAAAATGTTTTCCATGAGTTTCTCATGACTGGCGACTGAATTTGCTGTTTTCACACTTTCGAACTGCATAAAAAATGTTTTAAATAGCTACGTTTTTATTCACCAAACTTTTAAATGTTATATTTGAGTGTTTAACTCATCTCACGATTATGGTGACACTTTATATTGAAGAATACACGTAAAATATACTTCTGCTACTTAAAAGATTATAGTCGGCTAATGATGAGTTCAAAGTTCATGTCTGTTGGCCACGATCAATCGAAAACAAAAAGTATGAACTTTCAGGTGGCATATAATTGGCAGCATTTATCAAATAGTTCATACGTATACATTGAGTAAAACATATCAAAAATCAATTCTATGGATAGTGGACAGATAGGTTAATGCCTAAAATCTGATCATGACACAATACTGATTCCAAACATTCGATGTTACAGATACATCGTTGATTACTTATACTTGAAGATGAGGGATCACTATAATTCCATTGACGCAAGTAAGAATACAAAAGACTAGCACAAGTGTACATTTATTCCCTTCAAAAACGTGACAACATCCCTGGTGGAAAACACATTCATGCATGTATTGACTGGTGGTACATCCATTGTTTTGTTATTTATCAAAACATCACAATTATGAAATTATAACAATATCGTATTCTACATGTCATATTGAACATAGTTCATGTTAAATGATTACAAAGATTATCACTCCTTGCATAAACATCACACTGAAAATGAATCAATTTACAAGAAGAGTTAAAAAAAATTTGCAGGAAAGGAGCCGATAAAAAATCAATCAGAAACCTTTCATGGAACCTTCATTTATTTGTTCGGTAACTAAATCATATTGTGATAAATAAATGTATTCACATATGTAATGTTTGATGTCAAATTGATTACTGTCATTTAAAATAGAGATGACTGAGGCTCTATGTATTTCATATAACAATGTACATACAGAAAATCAGTTTAACTAGCTAATAGAAACTTGACTATAAGTCAGCCTTTCTTATGTTCTATTCAGCGAATACAAAGTCAGGTCGAACTACAAAAGTATGTGCAGAAGACATTTATTCACATGTTGGTACACTTATTTTTAAGCTTTGTAATCAACAGTTAAAAAGTTAATCGGGTTATATGCATAACCATACGAACTAGAAAAATATCTCGGGACAAATTAGAGCTAATAATTAGGCTGATAAAAAGTGGGTTCTCTATAAGATGTTTTACAGAAGCACATGTATACAGTGAACCGTAGGTCGTGGACGTTTGCTAAGAGACCACCAAATGTACAACCCAGAGTCAACAGAAAAATCGTTAATGCGTCCTCCAACTGACAACCACTTAATTGTAGAATAGTTTAATTGATCCTGTCTTTTCAATGTTTATCTACCGATTCAGTTGTATTTGTGAAGACAGCACTACTAACACACAATATATTTAGTAAGTTAAAGAGAATTCTGGTTCATGATTTAAAAAGGATCAAATAAAGTCTCTACTAAACTTTTTCTAATCGCTCTCTACCTACAGTGTTCATATAGTAAACGAAAAAAAGCATTCAGAAAGGTTTATCATATGTTTTGATATCTTCCGAACTAATCAGATCTTGGTCGTTACTTTCTCTCACAAGCTATTAGGATTCAAGATGATAGAACTTGTCTTTCTGGCGTAGTTTAAATTTTTAATACTAGTGTCCTTTCCTTGACCAGAGATAACTAAATTGTCAATCATTATCATTTCAAACGACTGCTTGTTTCTCTTTAACCCTTTCATTTCCCAACTTTACTATCTGAAGATCAAAGCTGATTGTTTACGTACTATTAAATATGTATTTCCAATAATTTCTTTTGATTTCTGAAGTTCTGATATTTTCTTATTGTCAAAAATTTCCTTTCATTGACTATGCTTCTCAATATTCTTATAATTGCCGCTACATCTGACTTTTTACTACCAATTTATGATCTTCACTTACTAATAAATGTAGCTAAATATGAATTCCATTAAATTGCTATCACTAGATGATAAATCTCAGTAAATGGTTAAATATTTTTAAAGATAAATTTGGCGTGAATATTTTTAAATAGATTTTCACTCTCTATGAATCCTTTACAATTCTCAGGATTTGAAAAGTAAAAACTAAGAATTGAAACTTTAAAATGCACTCATTTAATTCTGAATTAAAATGAATAATGTAGCAAACCATGAGTCAATGGACTTGATCTACCATTAGAATCCAGAACACTTATTCCATTCTACTTGAGATTAGTCAGCTACATGTACCAAGATCCCAGAGATTACTTTCAACCTAGTATTCGAATCCAGAACTGTTTGGATAATATGCCAACTCGTTATCCCCTCGACTAAGAAGTACAGATAGCCATTCACTATTGCTAATCGAAATTCAGTTAGATTAGCAACAGTGAGGTAATCGAAATCATTGTAAATTAAATGAACAAACTCCGACTTTATAATCACGTTGAAAAAAATAAAATAAATTTGTCGCAAATCATCAAAGGCTTTTAAGTACGGATTGTTTAACATAAACTAGAAATTAATGTATAGTTGTCACTGATTACGTTGAACCAACATACTTATGCTTATTTTTTTCATGTTATCTAGTTTGACAGTTGTGATAAACTTGGAGATTTCGGTTTTATCTGTATCATGCAATATTATCATGAATTGGTTTTTTTCAAAGCAATGACTTTTAGTGTTTCTACACTAATCTCAATTGATTTCAATCCCTAAAACTGTCTATGTATAGTATATTCACCAAGAAAACTTACCAATATTAAAAACTTATGCTTCGTTACATTAAGCAACTCCATTGGAATCACCTCCTTTCCTTGCATTAATCATCCTTCAACAAACAGGCCATTTCCTCCTACTAACAATTTAATGGTTACTAAATGAGGCTTCATGTTATTAAAAATCTCTGTAACTATTACGCTTCTACAACAATTCTCGTCAAACTACTCAGTACTGTATCTGTACCCCTTATATGTAACTTTCTTTCCTGTATGAACTTAATCTCCCTAATAAATAACACAGATTCAGAAATTATTCTTTAGATGTCATTTTAATTCATTGATTTATATATTTCACTACATTTTTTAATTCTAACCGGTTTGTTAAAAGGACTTTTCGTTTTAAATTCAAGCAAGAACGTTTACTTCACGTCAGATGTTGGTTTATGATTATAACTATAAAGTTACATCATCGAGATTGGAAATTTCCTAATTTTGAAACAAACATAAACTAAGAGTAAATTATTTGGAAGCAGTATATATTTTCAATTTCAATTGTCAATTTCTTTGCATTCATTCATAATTTTATTTTCGTTCGACTGCTACAGAATTATTACTGTGATTCTTTGATGATAAATGTAATTGAGATGCAGCAAAATTCAATCGCTTAGGAAGAATGTTTTGAGAGTTATAGTGTGTGTACTTTTATGTCAAACGCACTGAGCTTATCACAGTGTTGGACATTTTAATCATCCCATTCTTCCCAAAATACTATTCACCTGTCTTTTGACCTTGTCAGTTATTCGTTTTTATCTTGGTTGTTTTTATTCAGTTGTGTGAATGCCTATCATCACATGTCTGACTTATTTTGTCTCACTATAAATAGTTATACTTCATCAAACTAAGTTGGCTCACTCGCCTTCTACATTTCGTTTCGTCTTGCTTGTATCATTTTCATTATCATATCTGTCTGTTTGAATGAATGCTTGAAATAAACTCTCTCAGCCGAATCCGTATTTGCCTTTCTATTACCGCCATCGCACAAACGGAATTCGTGCAAGTATCATATACAGAAACTGATGGAAAGATTTATTTCATAACATATGCGACTATTCATCTAAACAGGATTGCAGGCCACTAAAGTGATGAACTCTGCCTCGAATTCAACACAATCACTAAAGAGCTAGACAGTCTAACACTTAAGATTACGTTGTCTTTCTCATCAGCACACACCTTATAAATAAGTGAGTTATTAGAAATTCTCTACTACTGACTACTAGCAGCTTGTTTTGTTGATCTACAATTTGGTTGACCATTGTTCATCGATGCGTGGAGGTTGCTTGTACGTTTATTCTGATAATTTTCGCCTCTGACTTGGTCTTTAAACTTGAAGTTGTCCATCATTTTCTTCAAAATCATGTCGCTGAAAAATTATTTGTAATTTTTATTTTCAGCATCGTTCAGCAAATGTTAATGTCCATATTAAATGTGAACACAAGAAAAAATGAATTTGATTTTCAGTTAACTAATTTTTTCTCCCATTAAATTATGTTTATTTGTTGCTTGACCAGTACGTTATCGACTGATTTTATTATTACGTATTTACAAGTCTCTAAGAAACAACTACATATCTTTTAATTAGATGTAAATAATTCGTTTAGCAGTAGTGTAGTATGAGTGAAAATAACGGAAAACAATAAAATATGAGAATACCTGCCTAATTAAAAGTTATCGGGGAGCGATGTGTACAGTTCTGAAATTATTTGCGCGTATTTTTATTCATTATGAACCTTTATACAGATTTCTTGATAACAGTTATCAGATACTTAATTTTAAAAACTTTTCTGTAAATTCAACCTGTATTTGCCAACATTGTAAAAAATAGCAACTAGCTCATCTGCCTTGCAAATTAACATCCTTGTACATATTTTATTTGATATATAATAAAGCAATTTGTTAAGAGACGAAAAGCCAAATATGGTCGATGGTTGTCAAATAATAACACGACGAGGTGTGAAAAATATTTTCTCATCAATGAATATTATTATTTTACGTTACTATGCAAGAATATTTTGACATGAAATATGGCACGAAAATCTGAGGTTTTTCCCAAGTTGTCCTTTATAATTGTTGAAAGGTTATTAATATATCTGACATATGAACAGAAAGAATTTTTAAATGAAAACTTATCATTAAATGATCATGCCGGTCTCTTATTTTTGCAGCAAATAATCTATTCACAAAGTAACAAAGTTGGAAAGGCGAATATCGACTAACGTATACTGTGATTTTCAAAAACTATACACATTTCTAATTATTAGTTGACAAGAAATTTATTTCATTTTCGAATAGAAGTAGTATATAACCAACCAGATTTATGTTCTGTAGAGGAAACCAGATTCTTACAATACAGTAAGATTTAGTACAAAATTTTTTAACATTTGGTTGATCAGTGAATTGCGCAAACGCTATGTTACTTCTATTTCCTTAGCTCTGACCGAAATCCGTCGACTAGTTCGCAATATGACCTCTAGTCTAAAAGATTCGACATCGTGTTCACTATACTGTCTACTAATTCCGACCATCTAACAGTTATCGTTCTAAATATAATGTCGAGAGATTTGAATAGAACTTTTTCAATGTCTTTTTAATGAAGCGAAAGTAGGCATTTGAATAGATGTGAATATTTCATTCACAGTTTAAAGTTCAAACACCAGAGTAAAATATATTTTGACATGTAAACTAGTTCAACGTAATGAAACCAACAAAACAAAATCAAATTAATGATTTTTGCATATTTAATATATTTATATTTAATATATTTACATACCAAAAGGATTTTTAAAACATTAAAACTCTAGTATTGAGTGAATAAGTAGACCTTCTAGATAAAGTATTTCGTTTTTTTTTTTTTGAAAACTAACAATTTTCTTTACCAATTAAACATCTATCAATCAAAACTTGCATTCTATTTGCATTTCATTTCCGTCTAAACTCCCTAGGTATCTTTGAAAAAACTTATAGCTTTGAATTTAGCCATGAGTCTAAAATTTATTTTTCTATGCTAAATTTAGCATTTCTGGAAACTCCCAAAGGCAAACTAAAGAATTATCACAGATTTTCTCTTTTTACATTCATAAATGGTATGTGAGAATTATTTGCATAAATAATTAATTGTTTTAGACAATATTAAGAAAAAAGAAATTACCGTTCATTCCTTCTAGAATAAATGCTGCATTAATAATAATAATAATAATAATAATAATAATAATAATAATAGTGGCTTTATATTTGTTTTCGGAGCGGAATTTGTGGCCTTCAAACTTTGAATTTCATGTAGTAAAATACAGTCAATGCTTTTTAAAGATTTATCACAAAAATATATCAGTATAACATTTGGATCTCTCACTTATATCCTGTACTTAAGATAAGATATCATGGTATTCAGTGAACAGATCTACAAACTCACTATTATCATGCTCGTATGGTACAACTACATGTGTTCATTTAACTAAACAACATAATATAAATTTATTACATCTAATCAATGAATAATGTTCACATTGAACAACTATCATGACATCCACAATAAAAAGAACTACACCGTTTTAACCTAAAAATGTGAATGAGCATTAAGATGTCAAAGTTTATTACGTAACTAATAATCTGATTCACTAATGTTAATGTACGCAACGATATAACTTGTAAACCGCATCTTAGTCACCCAGTTAATGAAAGTGAGACTCATGAATAACCGAAATATTAAATAGCGGAAATTTCATTTTAAGATTGTCAAAATAATCCCAGTAGTGTTGAGGTGATCGATAACATTGATTAGGACTTTATAACAAATTGATTTTATTTAAATATTTCGTTATTTTTCACATGAAACAATTAATTAAAGCTTATGATAAACAAATCTATCACTTATGGCTTGTAAAATTAAATTGTGAATAATGATGTTTTTATGGAATACTTTGCAGAATGAAAACACTACATTTGCTGTCCCACATACTTTTATCATTGATTGAATTATAGTTTCATGTAAGCAATCAAGTAACATAAGTGAACCTTTATTTATCTCTATCGTTATAAATTATCTTTCCTTGGGTAACATTCATCAAATAGTGATTGCTTCGGATAACTGTCTCAAACTAACTGCTACAAGACTTTATTCATGTATCTATACCTGCAAAACTCATTGAAAAGACTTGAATTGACTTTTGATACTTTGGTCAAATGACTATGATGAAGTAATCTAACGTCAGAATGATTAGTTATTCAGCAATATAGTCTAATAATTAGTGTTTTTTGAGTGAAACACCCTTGGAATAAACTCATTAAGTGCTTAGCATTGGCGGCTCACAGATCAGCTATTCAATGTCTAACATTATATTGTGATGTTACATCGTAAACGGTCTGTTAATCATTTATTTCTCTTATGTTGCGAATTACACCTTAAAGCTACTGCGTCGTATTGATTTATTATTCAATGATCTACCTAATGTAGGTAGTAGCACTTCATTACTTTAATCCATTCAACTGATGGAATTATCTGAAATTGTATTGTTGCACACCTTTAACCAAATAATCATATTTACTTCAAAATACTTAGTATATAGTCTTTTATGCACATATCCATTCGTGAATATTTAATTATCAGTCCAAATTAGCCGAATGCTTTTGTGAACACTACGAAAGTCGAGCTGCATTCCATTCAAGGTGTATGGATCTCGACATGAAGGGGATTTATTAAAGACTGGAACAAAAGTCGAGTACTAATAATAAATAAATTTCATCCACCATGCTTTATGCTCAACAGCCTTGTGATGGTTTTATCAGTAAAAATTATATTCAAAATGAATTATTTTGAAATTAATCAAAGTATGGTTAACCTAAATTATCATACTATTTCTAAACATATGTTGAAGGACATTATTTTGTCAATTTAATCTTGAATTTTCGCATTTTTAAAACCTGCTACGTTATAAAGAATGATTTTGTTTTAATCACATCTGATAAATAAACATATGAAATTACACAATCAAATAAAACTAACCTGCTGTGAACAGTATTGATTTCGAGGTAGATTATCCATATCGGAATGGTCTGTAGGTTTACATGTGCAACGACATGTACATTTAGAAGTGTTCATATTCTGAGAGAAAATCACTTAATTTAGAAATTATATAATCCGTACAAATTTTACGAGATCATTATTCATTAACATTTTATTTTTAAAAAGTGTTAAAGGAATATCTAGTTGAAAAATCCTTTTAATTGTTTCCATATTGCAATCAGCGATTGGACAAATTTTGCAGCAATAACATTCAAACGATGAAGGTCACAACAATCTTAACGAATGAGAAATGCATTATGTAGCGAATTGAACATATCAACTCCCATTATGTAATAAACGAATTCTGTCACTTACCTTTCCTAAATATGCATATAAGCATGTATATTTGATCAGCTCTATTTAAAGTACATATAATAATTAATTGTCTGTAATTAAATGTTACTTATTAGCACTAGATGAAATGTTTCGGATTTATTACTTCGATAGAGTAACTTTCCTCTTACCAAAATAGATGTTTTTCAGTGATAATAAAAGCAATCGATTCATAATAAAACGTTATTTCAGTTAAATTTCGCATTTTTTGTAACAAAAATAGTTGCTAGTACTGTTTTTTCACTTGAAACTTTTATTTATGATTAGATGATGCTAGAAAACTCTTTCAAAGGATAATTTTTAACAATCTATGAAATCATCAGATGGTTTGATATTATACAGCTGTTTAGAGTATCATTTTACGCTTTACAGTTTACCTTTGCACTAACTACTATTTTCGGACATATTTGTTCATATCTACAGTAATTCACTGTAATCGATAAAAACAATAACAGGAAATAACACCCTTGATAATATTGTCACACCAACTGTACAAGTTATCCCTTATGTAGACTCAGTAACTTAGTGAACAACGCGTTATTCATACAGAGCAAAAGGTACTGGGTTTGAATCGTAGTGTAAACATCATCATTAGGATGCAGATAAATATGAATGATGAGTTATTATTAAACAGGAACCAGGCTTTCCTGATTCTAATGAATTTATGGCGCACAGTAAGTAATATGACCGATAACAAAACTTCACATTACTGTCAGTTGTTATCGTATCCAATCATATTGAGATAATTTTGTTACTCTAATTAAACAGAAATCAGTAACATCTTTTGAAAGTAACTGAAACATAGTTGTTGACAAATCTTTCAATGGAGAAGGAAGGAATTAGATATGAAGAAAGTATTTGGTCACTATAATTATATACTTGAGAAACATTTTCTTATATTTCATCTGTTATACTAATTACAAACAAGATTATTTATTGCCTTAGTTTTCTGTTGATATAAAAACATGAATTTCTGTTTTTTCTTCTTTCTTGATGTCACAAAACATTTCTCTTTTTTATTTTCCTTCTCTATATACATTGATCTAATGACCTATTTCTTAATAAGAATTGTAAACAACCTAAAATGTGACTTGTTCCATCTTTGCTAATAAGTTGATCATGATAGTGTTTGTGTCATTTTTGTTTGATCATCATTCAATGCATCAAAATTGTTTTTTTCCTAATAAGTGTCTATATAGTTCTATTATTATTATTATTATTATTATTATTATTATTATTTTATGTCGAAAGAGAAACAATAAATAAGTCTAATTGTTAGAAGATTGTGAACATCCCTTTTTGAGTGTTTACATAAAAGAAACTATTTGTTCAAACTGAACATGAACAAATAAATTCATTTAATGAACTTTATTCTATATATAAACAAAGTAGATGCTACTTGGCTTAATTTAGAATTTAGGAAGTGTATTTCGTCCTTTTTGAGACTCGTCAATTGAATGCGAATGTATCTTAGTGTTGATGTTCCATTTGTGATTCAAAGTCAGTATTTCATCTATCAAGTGCTCGATAATGTGGTTATGTTGGGGTAATCTGCACAAGGAAGACTGATTGAAAGTCAACTCTCAGTTTCATCCAATAAATAAATTAAACCGTCATAAATTGTTTTCATAGGGATATATTTTATTACAGTTAATATTGTCATTTCCCTTTTAAACACTCAACATTATGAGGGATATCAACATTTACTACTAAGCATATAACGAGAAAATATTAACTTTACCTGTCCAGATGCGAATAATGATAAAAATCACAAAATCGAAGTTTTATTGTTGAGTGTTAAGTTAGAATGGCCCACCATGATGGCTATAATCCTTTTAAGTTCACGGTTTTAAGCAGCTATGTCCTGTGACGAAAACTCGCTAAACTTAAAATACAATTGTATGAAATAACAATTGTTACACATAAAGTCCAATCTATCTGTGATAAATACCCGTCACTTCTTATACGTCAGTTATCAATATAATTTATTAACAATCCCGAATTACCCAATATATCAAAAGTGAATTCTGAAATTTGTTTTTAAGAGTTAAAATCTTAAGTAAAACAAATATATTCTTATAATTATTATAGCGTATATTGAATTGCATTTCTGAAGAATATTTATTTGTTTGAAACGTCGGAGAATAATTCCTACAAAACAATTGTTTAACTTATGCGATTTGAACTTCAGATTCTGTAGTATATTGTCGAAAATTAGCATAATCTATTGAGAATCTACATAAAATTCCAGTTTATGTTTTCGTTGCAAACCTTTTTAATATAACATTCATCATATTTTTGTGTCCACGACATTTATAACATATTTGTATGTGTTTCTATTTTGAAGTTACTCTCCTTATGTTTATAAGCGAATGTATTTCTGAGACTTTCAAATAAAACAACTCCAAACTTCCAAGATCTAAGGGTTATATCGTTTTTCACAACACCGTGTAACATAATGACAGAGATATCGATCGATTTTGAAATAACTCACTGAAACATCAATTAAATTGTGGCTGTCATGACAATCTGACACAGTGGAACGTAGAATTCTAAAGCAAAATATAGAATTATATATATATATATATATATATATATATATATATATAAGGTTTCAATTTTTGACCAAAGCCATACAGAAAAATTGAATGTATCATAATAAAATCATAATATATTTGTTATATAATAGGAAAATGGAATTTTTTTAAATTCTTACTTTTAGTGTAATAGTATAAGTAAACAAAATAATTTAACACGAGTTACAACAATATCAATCGAAAAATTAAAACACTGAGTAGGAGGACCATAACAAGTCTGATCATGCATTTGTTGTGTTAATCAGCTCTAACATGATACATTACAATAAGTATATTCCTATATATCAAAATTTTAAATACAACAGTATTATATGAGAAATACAAAGTCAAAAAGGAATTTCTTCTCGTCGTTAAGCTTCTAAATTAATTTTACGTATTCAAATAAAATCTATAATCAATATAGAAATGATCAGTTGATATTAAATAAACTGAGATATGATATATTATGTCATGAGATTTCGACAGAATAAATATGGCTCTTTGAAAAAAAAGTGGCTCAAGTTTCGTACTTGGTCACGCCTTCTTTTTTTCTACAGATTGAACAAGATATATAGAAAGTTTAGACTGCTCACTTCCACTTATGACTGGGAAACTTTTAAAAATGATTTTGACATTTTCATCATCGATTAGATGGTTGTTGAAAATAACGTGTACTACCATTGCTAATTTATTGCTTGTATTCCTGACTTCGGATTTTTCGCTACATAAATGTTACTTGACACGGTTTATGATTTCATGATAAGGTGCATCAATACATAAAAACCTATGCTATTAAAGAAACCAGTAGATATTAGTTATGTGAAAAGAATCCTATCGTTGATTTTGATTAAATTTGAATAATATGATTACAAAATACATATTTTAAACTTCTCATTTACAAAAAAAACAACTCACTACTCATATTTTATCTGAATGAAAAAAAATTGTATTTATTGTCAAAATTGTCAGGATATCTCCCCACTGAATTTACTTAGATTGTCATCATGCAATAATAAAGCAAAAGTTCTTGTTTGATGCTAAAAACTACAAAAGATGATATAAATTTCTATGAATAATTCATGAGAAACCCCAATAATACACTGTTTTCAATAATAAATTGCTTTAGTAGAAAGAAATTATATGTGTACGTTAGTTAAAATTATTATTAATTCATTCTTTTGTGAGTTTAGAAAACGGATTGATTGTTTATTTGACCTTCAGTTTTCTAAATAAGATTTACCATCCCTTTAAGGATTTGATTATTACCAGGCTCCAAGTGATTAATGCTAACTGCTCTTACACTCTAAACCGAGATTTGTGTTAAGTGGTAGTTCTCAGGAAAGTATACTTGCACTTTTCAGCTCATTATATTTCTTTATGGAATTTTATAAATAGTTAATTTAATGTCTTTCTCACTGTTGTATCCAAAATGAGGTTTGAAATGAGGAATAACTTTCAAGCAAGTTTAGTTGCGCGTCTTGCGTAGATGAAATCCAAAACAAGATATTTCGGTAAATAGCGGTTCTAAACAATATTACCGATTAGTTATTCCTTCAGTGATAGTTCACTTATTCAAATAATTAATACAAATAAAAGTTATTCTATACCTCCTGGATAGATCAGATTCGTTCGACCGATGATATTTGGTTGCTATATAACACAGAGTGTTTCCAAATCTGGAAGAGTGCTCCAATTCACAATCAAAATGCACACTTCAGTCAGTTCAGCCAAAGGAGGGACAATTCACTGTGGCGGTAGCCATAACTAAGTATCAGCTTAAACAACATAATGCAGTTCAGAAAGAAACATAGAAACTCAGTGAAGGCAGAAGAAATGGAAACTATAATAAAATACAAATATTATCATCTCAAAATGGAATTGAACAGATTAACAAAATGTAGAACAGAAGGAATCAACAAGGACATATTAAGAATATAAACATGAAGTGATTTTCACAAACAAAGCCTTGAGAATGGATATTACAATCACTTTCCCTACAATTGAGCTAGTTGGTTAATTAGTAGATTTCTGTAGACAAATCAGTACTAACGGAAGCCAGCTGACGACCACATATGTCAATTATGAAGTAAATGAAAATGATATTGAGTTTTGGAACAGTTGATTAAAAAACTTTATATTAAGAATATCAGAGTTATTTTGTAAACATTATTATTACAAAATTCAATTGTGAAATCCCG